TTTAACGCGGCAAACAAAACAGGCGCTACTATAGAAATCGTTGGACATCGGAAAATGTTGTAGGTAAAGCGTGTTTAATCCATTTGACACCGTTTCGAGACTGCGAGATAATCTATATTTACAAGTACACAATAGCATAAGATAATATCTGCAATACGAGGAGTTTTCGAATTTAAATTATAATTTAAATCACACGCCTAAATCATGAGGCACACGCCACAGAAGCTGTCTATATCTATCACGTTGTGCTCTGGAATGTATATTGATTTTGAACCAATCGGAGCCGTTAGCATGTAATATTCGGAGAAGTAACAAACACGAGTGAAGCAGAAGTTCATCCAAACGTAAAATAATGTAGAATTATTATAAAATTTTTACCAGTGGAGGACTAAAACCTTCGAAAATTTACCAAATCCTAAAAATATAGTATGGCAAAGAAACATTGTCGGACATATGTAAGCATGCATACAATGTATAAACGGAGTATAAAGGTCTTTGAAGAAGAGCAAGAATGTCGAGAACGAATCATATTCCCAGCGGAGAATATTGATAACGAGAAAGAATGCTGACCAAGTTGATACGCTTATTCACATATGCCCTAAATCGTGATGGTCGGCGCATTATTGTGTGGGATATTATTTTATAAATATCAGTATTGGTAAACAAATGTTCTAAAATCAACTGTATCAGATGATATGTGTATTTATCAGATTCCATGGATGTCAATATAAATAGATTGAAGTGGATTGTTGTTCCCTATTCAGCATTTTTAGACTTTTATCCCTTTGGACTTTAGACCCTTGACAGAATTTTTAAGAGGAAAAAAACTTTATCTAAAAAGTTATCGAATTTCTATTTGAGAATAGATGCATTTATTTTCTAGAAAGTCTATTAAAAGATTTTCTTACGGAAGCTATGGCGCCAATACATGGCAAAGAAATCGGATTAGATTGAAGAATGCCATAATCTACTATGTCGGTGACTACCTTTCGTTTTTTCTGTAATTTTCAAATTATAATTTAAATTTGAATACTTCTCGACCTTCTCGTGTCTTTAAACCCTAAATGTTACATTTCGTAAATATTTCTTTTTAAAATGATAGACACTTACAAAATTAATGTTACCCAGGTTATTTCAATGATTGTGAAAAAATTATTACGAGATATTGAAAGACTTATCTATCTTATTAATCAAACATGTGTCTTTGACGGAAATATGCATGTTTGCGATATTAAAAAAGTAACTTACGACTGGTTCAGCACAAGTTTATAGAGGGGATTAGATTGCTCGGAATTGTCTAGGTACAGATATACATTTAGTATTCTTGCCGGATAAAGATAAAATTAATTCCACTAGATGCGTGCCTAATCCATAAAGAATGTTATTACGGAGCAGTGTTCACTTACAGTCGCGTTACACGATTACCTGCCATTCACCTGTCAGCGCATTCTCATGAATTTAAAAATTGTCCTAAAATTCTAGAAAATTAATTAATATTAGTTTATGTATTGATATCAAAGTTCTTCCAAATATAAGTTGATATTTCTTCTTAAATATCCCAAATCTGTGAAAATATTACGCTGTTATACTGATATACTTTGTTTATCGGCGATTTAACGTAGTAATGAATCATTTAAATGGTATTACACACTTGATAAGATCAAGTTGGCAAAATGCTTCTCGATCTCAGGATGATAGCTGTCTATAGCTTTTAAAAATTAACAGAGATATGATACGAGCTGACTGACCTCAGTAAAAAAGAACTGCCATTTTATTCGTAATTGAAATATCTTTATAAAAAATAATTTTAATTAAATTTATGTTGACTGTCAGGTAATGTGTGTCTTATGAAAAATATACTTCTCTTTGCGTTACCATTTGCTGTTTTCGACGTTTAAGTCGTTTTAAAATCCTGTGCTACGTCTTCTTGGCAATATACGTTCTTTTGCATCAATGTCAATTCCAATTCTTCGGAAGTATTCCGTCTTGACATTTCATTTTTATTCTTCGCGTACTCGTGCAGTCTGCCCCGGGCAATGTTGTCGCGTGCATACATACAACACAATTCTCTGCATTGTATCACGTAGAAATGCGATAAATTGTCCACGATCATCAAACCAAGCCGCGAGTTCACGCGAGGCCGTGCACGATTAAGGCACAACAAAGCCCGAGAGATTTATTCCCTAGAAATAATTCTCGATAGCAAAACTGAAAAGCGAGTATCGAGTTGCTTGATGGTGTATATGCATATATATTTAATATATCAATATAGCTTATTGTAAGTTTTTATTGATTTACTTTTATGAAGTTTTACTTTTTCATTCATTACTGTCTCATTTTTATCTTTAATACGATGACGTGGAAAATACATATATTATATAAATATAAAACTGATACGATGCCCCGAACGTTTGTCCTATGTCTATACAATCAGTACTTGAAGCGTCATTTAAAAAGCAGCATTTTATTTCAATACATTTAGAGGTTCTCCATTCAACTTCCGTATTAGTTTAATCATTAAATTAAATTAATTCTCAATTAATACAGACGAAGTATTATAAATATTAGACATCACCGATTTTGCATCGCGACGTGAAAAACTCGTTTCGTCAATTATGCCACGCGGGCGATGCGCTTCCTTATGCGTCTCGTGCGCATCGTTTGCGTGCGTACGATTCGAGATGCGGGCACGTGCGCCCGCGCGTATACATACACGCGTGGAACGCTGTATCCTGTTCCGCGGGGCTCGCTACAACGCGCGTCACGCTCGTCACAATGGTGCTAATCTATTTAATCTGACTAACAACAAACTTATCTCGTGACTCACTCGCCGCGATGGATTCGCGCGCCATTGCTCCGATCGCTTGCCATACGTCCATGGCACTCTGTGTGTATGTTAGGTGCGAATGCCGATGGATTTTTCCGGCAGATCAATGACTGGTTATACGGACTCGTGGAAATATCCCTTCGACGGGACTCGCTCTTTGCCTTGACCGCATACATGACGCCGTTAATCTCAGGTCAGAACGTTATCAGTGATAACGAGCGCGAGTTCGTTTCCTTATCTCGTGATACTTTTGAAGTTTAAACCTTATACTTTTTTATACCTGAACAAGTTGATGATTTTATAATTATAATGATTTTCCCCATTTTTTGACATTAATTTATGACAGAATTTTTTCCCTAAGCACAGCGTAATTTTGAGTAAATATCTTCTTTATTCTTGAATTTTACAATGTGTAAAAACGGACTGGCAAAAATTTTGAAGATATATGGAAGTACAGGGAATTGTTAAAGTAATGATAGCGTGTATGTAATCCTTCAAAGACGAAACGTGACACTTAATGATCTACGATGGAGAATGAAATTGAAGTTTACATTTGTGTATCGCACGATAAATAAATGTAATATATTTGTACTTTGTAACATATAGCGTAGAGCACGATAAGTCGACAGTAACGGAAAAGTTCTGCATATAGTTCTTTAAATTCCGGGATTACATCGCGAGAACGTTATCAGTCGTGGAAAAGCAGCTTTATGCATCAAAGTCTTAAGTACGTCATATAAGGAATTAAATTCACGAGCGGGAGGAAGACACGGGGTGGGGGAAGTGCGGGGAGGCGAGGCGACGCGTAGAGATAAGGGAAGAAACAGAGGCAGGCGCGTTACGTATATACGTTTCATATCAAAATATATTTGTGCATAGACAAGAAGACAACCGTGACAGGTAATTTTATACCCTAACGTCATACGTCAGTCATACACCCAAGGCACATGTGCGTAACGTCTCTCTCGCATTCACACTAGTTGCATGCGGTCGTACGTTTTCCCTCGCAAATAATTAAATCGCTCGCAAGTAACGTGCGCGCATGCACGTTAACGATATGCGCGACCGCACGGTGCACACCGGCTGCTGACTGTTGTCGCTGGCATCGGATTTTTGCGTTACGAGCTGACATCGCGAAGATGAAACCTGCTTAATGCGACTGAGCGCTTGTATCGACCATTCACGTATGATTCCTCCGACTCTTCCGCTCGAATATCTCGGTTTCACTCTCGTCGCTAATAAAATAAAATATGCAATTACAACAATTCGTCTCTCCTGACGCATTCGCGCACGCGATGTCACATATACACGTGTACGCACGTTATACGGGCTTACACACGCACGCATGTATACAATCCGCTCGATTCCCCAGTCTTTCCGGCGGTTTCTCTCTCTCTCTTTCTCTCTCTCTCTCTCATGCTCTCTTTCTCTCTCCCTCTTTCTCTCCCTCTCTTTCTCTCTCTGATTCTCTTCTAACAAAATATATTAGCTTTTTATGTACATACATCTCAAATATAATAATAATAAAATTAATTAGAACTATAATACAAGAGCGTGGATAAAGTGCTCGGCTGTGTTGGCTTGGCCATGCTTCGTCGAATACAACGAGTACGGGCAGCGAATACGTATCGAGAGAAGATGGATGTCTCATTGATGCACGATTGTTGATGCGAGCCACGTTGATATAGATCACCGTGTTTCGATATGACTCTTTTTTTTAGGTACTTGGTAATTGGAGAGTGATAACCTAAGTTCATTAATTTAACATTATCTAAGAACCGAATCCTAAATACAGCGCCGTGTATACGTGTCTTTCGCGTTGGAGATGCGTTAGGTGTACGTGTGTCCGTGTATCGTTTACGTGTAGTACGAAACATAATATACAACTAAAGTGAGGATTCTCTCGCGTGAATCGCATCGAGATACGATTTGTTCGTAATGTTCGGGGCTTGCCTACGCGTCGCGATCTTTCGTGCCCACCGACGCGACGGGGACTCGACGGCCTCGAAATCGATGGATCACCCAGTCTTACTTATTTAGTTCATGAGTGCTAAGAGGGAAGAAGACATTATTAAGTAAGTAAGGAAGTAAGGTACCAAGAAGAAATAACGCAAATGACGAAAAAAAGATGAAAGAGAAAAATTGGACTGTCTTTTTCGCATCCTTCGTCGGATTCTCGACATTATCTCGGGAGATCGCGACACGATGGCTTGCTTGCGGATCACGCGATTGATTCCTCACGTCATTTATTGTTTTTATTTATCGACGTTCGCGTCCCTTTCGCGTTTTTTTTTCAGCGTCCAAACGGCACTCCGGAGCAAAGGGCTGCTCGTGTACCGCGGGCAGTTGCACTTCTCTTTCAACGAAATGTTAAGTTCTTACGTGAACCACGCCGACGTTTCTCGGTCGTCGTAAGCTCGCGTAGAGTAGCTTGCTCTTCTCGCTCGCCCTCCTACGCGATTCGTCGACTCCCTCCTTCTTCCTCCCACGCTCGCGCCTTCACGGCGCTCTCGACGCAACGACGACGACGCACGCACGCATGCACGTGCGTTCGCCTCGCGCGCCGCTCCGAGCCGAGTGAGATATAAAGGACGACGTAGAAGCCGAAAGGAGGAGGAAAATGAGAGATAGAAAAAGATGAGAATGAGCAAGCGAGAGGGAAACGGGGAGAACGAAAGACGGCTTCTCCTCGGAGATGTACATACGCGATGTTGCGGGGAGACGCGGGAGGAAGCGGAAGACGCGACTAACTTCGTCTCACAATCGGAGCGACTTGATAGCCCAGGGACGCGAGTCAACGACAATGTCGTCGGAAGACGGTGTCATCTCGAATTGCGCGGCAATGTCTGTGCTGCACTGCTGCTGCTGCTGCTGCTCCTGCTGCTGCTGCTACATGGGTCCACACGCGTGCTGCTGGAACTGGTCGAGATGCCTGGAGATCTCGCGGTGCAGTTGCTCAGGTACGACGCCGACGTTGATGCCGGTGTTGAAGAGCGACCTGAGCACGTTGAGCTCCTCGTTGAGGATTTCGATCTTTTTCTTCAGTTGATCGTTGTCTTTCACCAGCAGCTTGACCTTCTCCTCGGTCTCGCGCGATCGCACCTTCGCCTTCTCGCGGCTCTTCCTCACGGCGATGTTATTCCTCTCCCGCCGTCGTCTGTACTCGTCGCTCGCCTTGTCGATGGCCTTGGTCTGCTTCCTGGCGACGTTCGCGGCGTTGTGATGCTGATGGGCCATTACCGGCCCCTTCATGGGGTTACCCCGTGGCGGTGGCTGATGGACCGGCGCGCCTGGATGACCGGCCGATATCGTGGACGGCGTCAAGGTGGTGAAGGTCTGGCCACCGTTAGCGAACGGGTTGTTCGTCACCGGGCTGTAACCGGCGGGCGGATACTGAGGGCAGTGGCGTCTGTAGTCCGTCGGATCCAACGGTTCTTCCTTGATACTGGGCGACTCCGAACTCGAGCTGTTACTGTCGCTGCAACTGTTGCTGCTCTGATGGTAGGTCGCGCCGCTGTGCACCGGCTGCGGCATGTAGGCGAGTGTCGTGCGCGGATAGCCGCCCGTCCTGACGTGCTTCATGGCGCTATTGGTACCGAGCATGTCCAGCAAACCCTCGCCGAACTGGTTGTCGTCGATCAGGTTTTGGAGATCCAGCGAAATCTCGGGGGCATTGAGATCGGTAAGCTCGCCGGCGGCGGCGCAATGCTCGGCGTATTGCTGATGCAAGCTCGCCTTGCTGCCGGAGACCTGCTTCACCACCGCGCTGTTCTGCTGCTGCTGATGATTGTGATTGTGGTTGATCTGCAGCGCGGAATTGTTATTGTTCGTCGCGGCGTTATTGTTGTTCTGATTGCTGGTGTTGTTGTTGAGCACCTGGGACTTCTTCAGATCAGCCGTACCCTGGGCCTGTGCCTGATGGGCCGCCGAATCGTACATGACTGGTGATGCCATCGCTCACGCGCACATCACAGATGGGAATCCTTTCGCGACTTCACCGCGACCACCTGTACCAATCCGCGTCCGTTTGTGCGTAGAAACCGTCGATCTGCGCGTTGTCGTTCTCGCCTCGCTCTGTGTGCTTCTATTACTAACTATCTCCCTCTCCTTCGGCCGTCGTAGCGCGTAACTACGTCGTCCAAGACGAGCCGGCAGGAGATGAGGAGAGAGTACTCTTCGGTATCTATCGCCGTCACACCGCCACCGTCATGGATAACAAACGGATCTCGTTTTCTCGAAGGCGCGCGTCGCGGTTTTTGACACTGTTCCAAATACTTACTCAATGGTCCCCCCGGATTATATATTCCGAGATCCCGAGGACGCGACGGTCACACGTTTTTCGTCCAGTGGACGTTATTTCAACTTTCGTCGTCCGCTCCGCGTCAACGCGGCTTACTCACGCCCACGCGCACAGTCGGTTACGTCTCCGTGCGATCTTGGCCCACTCGGAGTACACACGGAAGGAGACCGCTACGTGAAGCTCGGGAGTAAAGGGGAGAACTCGATGCGGCAGCAACAAACCCACTCGAGAGTTGGCGCGCGACTGAGCGCCTCGGCGGCATGTCGCAAGCTTTCAATGTGGCGCGCCTCATTGCGCTTGCGCCCGCGACGTCGCGCTTCCCTCCGCTCATTCCGCTCCGTGCTCTCGCCTCCTCTCGCGAGCGGTCCTCTCGCGGAGGGACCGACCGCGGAGCGTCCACCGCGCTCCTCCTCCCGCCGCACCGCCGCGGCGCTCGCTCACGAGTTAGCTGTAGCTCCCACTTCTCCGATCCTCCGGTCCCCCGGCTCCTTGTCCTCCTCCGGGCCCCGTTTTCTCTCTCTTTCTCTCTTTCTCACTCTTTCTCACTCTCGCTTTTCCTGTCCGTTATCCGCGCACGCCTCTCTCTCTCTTTCTCTCGCTCCTCTCCGGTTTCCATCCTTTTCCCACATTTCCCTCTCCGTTTCCGACGCATTTCGGCTTTCGGCCGTCTTTTTTTCCCCTTCACTCCCGCGGTTCCCTCGAGCGGCGTGTCTTTTTTTTCCTCTCTTTTCTTCGTTTTCTCGCCATCCCTCATGTCCTGACACACTGCGGTCGGTCCCGTCACGGCTCTGTGCGGCGGAAAAAGTTTTCCGACGCTTGATTCTTGCGGCGACGCGACGCGACGCCGCGCCGCGTGCGTACGATAGGCGGCCTTCCTTTTATTCGCGATGGGTGCGCGGATTTTCCCGCTCGAACAATTAGCTGTCGTGGGTCATCAGCTCGTTCATCAGGTCATTTGGGATGTCAGTCGCTGTATGAATTGTCCAAACCGATAATAATCGAATTTAAATTAGACATTAAAATTCCGGATATACGAGACCATCATGTATATCTAATTGCCATTCATGAACTTTCGTTAACTTAAGTTAATATTTTATTTTTTATATTTACTTAATGCAGCCATGCATCACGCGTCGCGAAATAACGACTTTGTATATGTCACGTGGCGCCTATCACGACGCTCGGTATTTATTTTTGAGAGCACCCTGTTGCCCACAAGAAAGTGTCATCGTTTACACGATATTGCGCAATCGGCAGTAATCAATTCAAAATCTTCTGCCGTTATAATTGCTCGCTTGTCGAGATTTTTTAGAGATTTTGAGAAATGATTTTCGTTATCGTTACAAGTAGCTTTAAATTGCTTAAAATACATCTGAACGAGGTATGCAAATATCCGAGAATTATTGAATAGCAATGATAAAATAAGTTCCTAAAAGATTATATGATTGTAGACTGTTAATAAAGTTTTAATCAAGATTTATGATGAGACAATAACGTGCTCTTCATCATAAATCTTGATTAAAACTTTAGCTAACAGTCCAGTGCTTCACTTCAAATTAGATCAGTAAACGATTATTTCGACCATATCTCTCCATTTTCCGGGATTTTATTATTTTAGATTAGAACAAGTTTTATTTCCTTATTTATGTTTTAACGTTCATTAGCTGCTTATCACTCTGCCCGACTCTGCCCGTAGCTTCAAAACGTTTATCCTCGTTTTCCTAGAACTTTCCATATTTATTTTTAATATTTATCCTCTTTCAGTTTTATTATTAGATCACTAACAGATCAGCATATAATCTGACGAATAATTTGTGCAGGAAGGAGTTCCGGTGGGATTTTCCGCGCGAGATGTGTCGCGATCGAGCCCGACGAATAGTTTCGCGTCCTCACGAATAGACGAATCATTGTTGCGTCATGTTTTGATTGTTTATCAACGCAGATTTTTTTATCTTAACATCGTGCGCGCAGCGTAGTTAGGCGTGCGTTGATCTACGTCTACGAACCAGCGCACGCTGACGTATATTAATCGCTCGGATTGTGAACGACGAGTTTCTGCATATCAGTGACTCGCTTGCGTCGATAATCTTGGCGCTATCGAGGCATGGGGAAAAAAAAATCCCAGAAGCGACTTTTGCGCGCAATTGACACACCGAGATCGCATTAATTAACATCCTCTCGCGGAATCACTAATTAAGCGCTTTACGCGCTCTAATTCATGTTATATATATGTATCATTAAGCGTATTATGTAATGGTGGGTGATGAAACGGAAATAAGAAACCTGTAAACGATAAGTACGTTATCTTCTATCCCTTCCTCTCTTTTCAATTTTTTACATATATTTTGTTCTGTGCCCAATTTCTCCTCTTTCTAAGTGAAAACAATCCTGGTTCTGTATATATATCTCTTTTTTGACATAAGGAAGTATCGAATTAATTTAATATAATTTAATTTCCGATAAATATATCATTTTAATAATTAATTATGAATATTATAGTATGCTTTTTGAAAAGTAATTTGCACCACCACATACTTTGTTACGTATTATATGATTCGTTAATTGTATCTTTCTTGCAAGCTATATAATCTGTTACTGCTAGCATTAAAATATTATAATTTATTCCAATTTATCATTTTAACAATTTATAGGATTTAAATTTATAGGATCAAAGAGAGCCTATAAAACCTACAAGTTTATAAATATTTTCTATAAATTTATAAATAGATGTTATCTTTTCGCATATCGGAAATTAATTAAATAATAAACGAATTTTAAGTATAATAATAATAACAATATCGCTGTCAAATAAAAAAGCGTGTATAAAAATCACTTTCTTAAACGCTGGTTAAAGTCAACCAATTTTTTGCTCCTTTGCAGTTTTGCCTCCACAAAGGGAAAGAGAATCGACCAAGTCTCATTTAATTTTAAGATTCTTTTTTGTGAAATTGTAAGAAATCAGCACGAAACGCTTACCGATCGTTCGAAGTTTGTGAAGTCAGCTCGCAAGTCAATCGGCTCGCTAGCGTAACGCCATGCGCCCGCAAACAGGATCGGTCGTGCCATCTGTTAGCACGTCCACGAGGCAACTTCGGTCGGTATCGCGTATACGCGGGGGGGGGGGGGGGGGCCGACCGACCGCCGCCGGAAAGACTCGAGTCCAGCCGAATTTTCCTCGCCGTGATATTAGCCACAACAAAAAATTCGTGGTGGTCGCGCAAAAAGTTTTTGGCGTTACGTTATATATTTTTCGCTCCCGTTCCTCCTGTGCGGCGCAAAGGGTGCTGGTTCGTCAGCCACGTCGTCGTCTCGTCCAGGATTCGGCGGCCCGTCGACGGCGCGAAGTAAGGAGAGAGAGAGCAAAGCGCGTGCACGCCGTGTTGCGCGAGAGGATCGTCGTCGTCGTCCCTCGCGGCATCTCTCGCGCGTTCGATCCCGCCTGGCCCCCCCTCGTGTTTTGCGGATCGTGTGTTGTGTGTGTCGGAGACACCCGTGTGCGCCTCTCTTGACGCGAGACCACCCGACGGACGTGTGCACGCGTTTGGCCATGTTGTGACGACGACGACGACGATCCGGAGTAAACCCGGTACATCCGTCACGGCGCACGGCCGTACGCGCTAATTCGCTCGTCGCCGAGACGATTACGCTCCGCTCCGCTCCGCTTCGCGGGCCGACTCCGCGTTACCGTTGCCTCGCTCTCGCCGTGGCATCCTTCGAGGCTTAACCTACAAAGAGTCCCGACTCTCCGCCCGCGCGCTCCCGCGAACTTCGTCCTCTCGTCGAAACTCCGCGTTTATTGTGACGTAATTGGTGCAGGTTCTTTCGCGAGCGTCGCTGTATTTTTTATTTACTTCCGGTAACCCACGATCTTTTTCTTGATCTTTTTGTTCTTGTTTTATTCTTATTTCATGTTTCCTGATTTCCACTGAATTTATTGCGCGAATGTACGTGAACATGTAGGCAGCTTAGGCAGCACCGATTTGTTTTGCTAAGTTGACTGATGTCCCATTTGTAATGTTGCTTGCAGACTGCACAATCACGCAAGAGTTATAGGGCAATTCCAGCATTCACAATGGCGGGAGAGCAACAACAGTTTTTTCTCAAGTGGAATGACTTCCAGTCGAACATGGTGTCGTCGTTCAAACACCTGCGAGATGAGAAAAGCTTCACGGATGTGACATTGGCTTGCGATGGTCAGACTTGCAAAGCGCATAAAATGGTCCTGTCCGCCTGTAGTCCTTACTTCAAATCTTTATTAGAGGTAACGCATTAATAGTGATATTACCATTGCCCGATGTCGCTAGTGTGATCGATAGACTTTGTCTAATTAAACTAATTATATTTTCCTTCTTGACAGGAAAATCCGTCCAAACATCCAATTATAATTCTAAAGGACGTTGCGTACAGCCATCTACAAGCCATTCTAGAATTCATGTATGCAGGTGAGGTAAACGTTTCGCAAGATCAGCTGCCAGCATTTCTCAAAACAGCAGACCGGCTTAAAGTTAAAGGACTGGCTGAAGCTCCCGGTGCCATTAAGAGAGAAGGTTAAAGATACGCACATAAATACGGTATGCTTTAAATTTTTGCTTCTTTAACTCTAGATGAATTTGACAAAATATTCCTTATATAGATACAATTTTCTTATTTCTAAATCTATTACTTTATTGCGACATTTACTTTATAAGTATGTTTGGTGATTTCATCTTTTAATAGGATATTTATATATATTAGATAAAAGAAAAAGAAATCATTCAATAAATGCAGTATTTCTTTAGTAACATTATTGATTTCGGCGTTGCCGCATGAGAGTTCATTGGTCAGTTATTGATTGTGCAAAAATCTATTTATATTCTTGGAGCGAATAATACATATATGCATATGTAACTTTTGATTTACACGCTGCCACGTGCGCGTTGAACGTACATAATAAGAGCTAACAATTTCGATAAATACAATTCCACAATTTATCAACATATCATTTTTTATGCATAGTATAAGAATTTTTTATTTAAAAATGCAAATAGGGCAAAAATGTGAATTTTCCTTTGCAGGTATTTGAAAAGTGTGTGGACTGAAAGAACAGTGTAATAATGTAAAGTGATTGAGTAAAACACATACCACACAACATAAACACACGACACAACATACATTATAAATATATAGAGACATATGTATAAAAAAAAAGTTGAAACACTGCGTGTGCACAACTCAGTGTCCTTCGGTTCATGACTTGGATCAACACGCGGTGACGATGTAAAATAATGCCTTTTTCTTATTCTCAGTTAATGTTAACGGTTGTATTGATAGTATGTACACATACATGCAAGTAGAGAAATGATGTTGATGTTTGTCTTGAACCCATTACGCCATATTGTGGCAACAATAACAACAACATTGATTATTTTTTTAAAACGAATCATCGCGAATAAGTGGGTCGCGATAGTTTACAATGCATGCTGACCGGGGCAGTCTTGGTGGATCAAGTTGGAAATGTTGACAACATCTGTTACAACGCCCGTTTTTTTTTTTAAGCCGATCTACCTGACTCATAGCACTCCCCTATCGATTCTATTTAGTGGATCTATTCACGAAGTAGCATTTATTTGTTGCGTGTCAGCTATGACGTAATTCATTTGTACATGTCAAAATATGAAAATCTCTTTTTCTACAAATATCTATGCTATTTTCATTATCAATTTTCGCAAGTTATATCAGGGATGTGATTATGGAGATTTCTCTTTAGGAAATCGATCCTACAGGGCATTAACGATCTTGTATCGTACTAAATTACGTGCAAAATGCTAAGTAAATGATAATGATAATTAACGAAAGTATTTCGTTGAACCTCAATCGAAAAGTTCGGCTTCTGTCGTGGATAGATTTGCGAAACCCCCGGCAAATCATTTGAAGAATGTCAAATCAAGTTTACTGGAAGTAGTAACGTGCGCGTTTATACATCCTTCTCTTTTGTCAATTTTGCGATATTGGAATACTGCTCTTTTGCATTCATGTGAAATGTAAAAAAAAAAAAATAGAATGAAAAGGAAGGAAATACGAGATTAGGAAAGAAATTGTAATACCATAATCAATCCCGTACAAGTTACCTCTTCTAGTGAACATGATTTTTACTTAACCAAATACTGCCAGTATTTGTACCGGCGTATTCACAATATTACCGATATAGACCAAATTTATTTATGATAATAATATATTAAGGGTTGAATGTCTTAAATTGAGGGAAGGTTATTGTAATATAAGCGAAGTAAATTTTTGTAAAGTCGGAGCGCACAGTTCCTTTTCCCTCCCGAACAATCAGGACGCTCGGAAAAGTCTAGGAAGAAAGTCAGGAAACATTGTCGAGTCAGGGATACAAAAATTGATTTTACAAACGCCGTGTTTTTCCTCTATAATCAAGTATTTTACTATTATTATAGAGAATTCACTGTTTTATTACTTTTAAACTTTACTTTACTACAATACAAGTTTTCGTCAATTGCGTTCATCGTTAGATAAGTCCGCGCTCGTAATTCCTGACTTTGCTGTCTCTTAATTACATATTAAGAAATTCTCCAGTGTTTCGTGAGTTTTTCCTTGTGAAATTAATCGTCCTTGTGCCTAATATGAATTTATTCCAATTTTAATTTGGATTATATAACGAATTAGCACGAGTGAACTTTTACGGACACTGAATGCCGACTTAGGATCGTATCGACATTACGTATCGATCAGTCATATACCGCAGAATGTTACGAACCCTAGAGCAATCGTTTCCTACCGATTTTGCTTCGGATGTTTCTGTGAATTATACGTGAGACCGACCTGATCGTACTTACGATTGTAAGAATAATCCACCAAAAAGAACTCGTCGTTCATAAAAATGCTTTGAACTCCACGCGATAAAGTCCAGATCTTGTTATGGAACTTGACTTTGTATCAAAGTAAATGGCTTCCATACAAATTTCAACGATGCCTGATAAGTTCTGATAATTAACGGGACCATTCTCGTGCAAGCGGCATTAAAGCGAAATTTGTGATGTAATAGTTTGCATATATTTGGCATCTTTTCGGAATGAGGGTTCAATTGTTCAAGCTTTTTTCAACATAAGAAGGCTTCATCATCTTTCGCGATCATCCGATAGCAATATCGCGTAATAGGTACCCGATCTTCAGTCTCAGTATTTAAAGCAGCGTTAAAAGCGTCGAAATGGATGGGTTTAGTTCCTACAATGATATGTTTACCGGGCATTTGGTGGCTGAATGTGAATAATAATACCATGTACATTTGCTATGCTGTAAATTTGGGATACAATTATTGTAGAATAGAAAATCTCATAGAAGTGACCGTTCGCGCTAAATTCACGAAATCATTTACGTCATATATGTATCCTTTTTCGTTACGTTTCTCGCTTTATCTCCGACTTCCATACATTGCACTTTTCGTATTCACAACTCCAAGTTCACGATTCCAAATCGATTAGTTTGCACAAGTTAGCCGGATAAATCTCTCTTCCCTCCCTCCCTCCCTTCCTTTCTCCGTTATCCCTGCCATTCTAGCTGAAATTCGAAACCCTCCTTATTAACGTTACTTTTGCTATTATATGACTCGATGATGATTATGATATGATGTTGAGATATAAAATAAATTATGTAAATATACCATTTTTTGGCATAACTGTCTTTATTGCTCCTTCTTACGGATCTCTGTTCCTTGATCTTCCTTAAAACCATTCTAGTGTATTAACTGCTATTATAAACAAACATTGCATACAAAATATTTATCGCAAAATTATGTTCTTCATTGTACATTATATGTAATTTGTTCCGCATAAAACTGCATAATACATTTGTAATCATATAAGCAGAGTGTGATATAAAGTATAAAAATACGTATATATGTGAATATATATATACATATATGTGATTAATTTATACTTAAAAAAGTTGAATATATACTAAAAAAGTTGAACATTCACATAAGATCCTATATGAGGTAGTAGCGATCAGAGCTTGATTTGATCAGTTTTTTTATTTCCTGACTTGCTTCTTCATCATCACAAACACGTTGAGTGGAAGTAACTTAATTAGTTACTACTTGATGTATCGTCCACCTTGTTTCTGCTTATTTTCCAGGGTAGGCATTTCGTTTTTGTTTACTTTTCAGATGAATCTATGAAAAAAAAATTAAAAATGTAATGTTAAAACGATGGATTTAGTAACAAGTAGTGTTCCATTCTTACATGGCGGTGTGAAATTAAAGACTGGATATCTCGGTGCAAAGGGTTCGTTGGCACCATGCACGTAATTTGACTCGTCTTCGTCTTTGATGCTATCCGCTCTTTGCATACATTCTTCGTACGATGGTGGTGCTAGATAGAGATAATAATTTCTTAAAATTTATTCTTTAAAGAATTCTTACAACTGTAGGTCAAATTTCTATGATAAGTCTTACAAAAATTATATTTCAATTTTTTTTTACTCTATAACAAAAATATCATTGGAAATATTTTCTCTTTGGCTCCGAGTTACTGTACTTCTAATTGACACAGTAAAATAAAATCGATATTCAATTACATGGTATACGATAAAGCCGATGTATACAAATATGTATTTTCAAGATTGAATATAAAATTTCTAAAGTAATTATTTACAAAATAACAAAAATACTCACGTATGTCCCACGGGTTAGTCGACGTGCTGGGTTGATTTGGAGAGATAAAACCTATTGCCGCAGGATAGGGCACGTTTGGTGGTGCGTAGTCTGGAGACGCGGGCATCGGCGGTGGTGGATCATAATCGGGTATTATAGGAGCTGTAGGCTGCACGGTTTGCATATAGGATGCAGATGTAATAGTAGATTGTAATGGAATTGTTCCGATCAAGATCGGGTAAACCTTGACGATGCTGCAATGCCTGTCGTAAGAATTGGACCGATTTCTTAAATCACTAACCAATACGATTTTCCATATATTGCGGAACATTTATTGCAAGCAATTACAAAATAATTTTTAAGAATTTTAAGAATTTTAATTGAAAAAGCGAAATATTAACTGATTATAATATATGTACAATTGCATGCATGAATTAAGCATTTTATTTTATTACTATTTGGGTATACATACGCTCCAGAGACGTGAATTGTAACGCGCAAGGAATATTTCTGATCTATTATACTGCAACATTCCAACTGGGATGGCGGTATCGGCGGAACCTGTAATCGTGAGGTAATGTCGGCTTGTTGGCCGAATGGTCCCACACTTTTCTCGGCTTTTACGACCGCCTTATCCGTCTTGGTCGTATTATACGGTGATTTCGCGTGGAATTCTAATGACTTCGTGAACAGAAATTAAAAAGTAAAAATTAAAATTATTATATCGATTGAAATTAATTTGTTACGCTATAGTTACGCGCTTATACCTACCCGTTCCAGTTTAACGCAGATCTTCGTCACATTGACACTGCTAGTATTATATAGGTTGACCATAGTCTCTATCGATTGTCCCGGGACGAACCCCGTCGTCGGTATTCTAATACGTACCTTCATCGAACCCAAGTTGAAACAACAGAAACAACAAAAACTCTCCATCACATCTTCATCTACGCTGACCTAATAAAAGACAAATTATTCGATTTTAATGACGTCGGGCGATATCTTCATTTTGGAGTTCGATGTTATTTTTTCGTAATAGAGAGGCAAAACAAAACATGGATCTTTGCTTAGCGATTTCACTTACACACTGATGACTGCGAGAGTTCAAATCGTAAGATGAGACCACGGTAAACGCAATTTTGCTCTCGTGATCGAATCTCCATGGTCTGTCGATGACGGCCTTCATCGTGTACCGGATGTGACCGTTCGTATGTTCGAAGCTGCATGGTATATTATATGGCAGTGAGAAATTAAAAGAATATCTATGAAACCCCGCTGGCATCTGTACCTCTCCATTGCCTGAAATGCAATGATATCTCGTCTATTTAATAAATCAAGAAGTTCCATCTAATCGATTTCAGCAACTAATAGTTGATCGAGCAATCATATTCAATTATTTTATTGTAATATTCTTTTACAGGTACTTTTTAAATTTTTAGGTAGCTAATCTATTTCTAATAGATTAATATTGTGAGTGTTACCTGCTGCACTTCCCAATAAGTAATAAGTCAGGTTAAAATACTGTTCGCTTGCTCGGAAATGATCAACGTGGGTGTGACTGCGTCCTTGGGAATCCTTGGTAGTCCTTCTTCTCTCCCAGCTAACATTAGCTTCTCCCTTTATTGACAATTTCAGTGCTGCGAACAGAGAAATATCGGTGTCCTTATTTTTATATATTTTTTATTAGTAGTAAAATGTGATATATTGAAAAGTAATGTAATCTATTTCTCTTTTTGTTTTTATTTATTTATCTTCTCACGATTATTATTGAAAGAAATAATATTTGATTATCTATTCTCTTTTTTACATTTAAAAGAAGCAAGATAATTAACAATAAAAATAAAATAGACTTAAATAACTCTAGACAATTTCCGAAAAATGATATATGATTTCGAAATCCTGGAACATATATATTCATATTCTTTTTAAAAGAAAATTTCGGCTGGAGTAAAAGAAAAGTTCTGCTAATTTTTTAAATACTAAATTAGTATACAGACAAGGTATACAGGAAAGGCTTGCGCATTAGTGACAATGCTTTACCTCATACGAAGTTCAATGTCGTTTCAAACGTATCAATAATACTCGCATGTGGTATGGACGCGTGTTGCATAACTAGTTACAGCTGATGCGTAAAAATAGTCGCGAAAAAAACAGTAGAGCTCGAGCTAGAGCGTTTCGCATATTATTGCTCCAAAGTTACGTCGTTCTTTTTCGGCGCTCCAACAGATCGCAGCCACGCGAAAATCGTCTTCCGATAAATTATTTTTAGGTTGTTTACAACTTTGGAAATGTATATTGCAAAATGCACGTTCAAGTAGGTATACTTAATTAAAGCATCTAAAAACGCGTAGGTGTGAGGATTAAATTTTATAAACTTGTTATATATATATATATATATATATAAATAAATACTGATATATATACATACATATATTCACGAACGGTAACAGAAAGTATTCTATATATGTATACTTTCTGTTACCGCGTTCGTGAATATATGTATGTATATATATCAGTATTTGTAACAGAAAGTATTTGAAAAATATTTTCCAGCATATACTCCAATATTATTATTCGTCACGTAATGTACGATGCGTTTTGATAATTATATGACTTCGTTCAAAAAGTGCACACGGGACTGAGATAACTTCAGTGAATCTTTGTTTGCTTACTATCAGGACGTCGTTCTCTGATAACACGAATCAATAATTGAGCTGTCTGTCTATCTAACTGACATTTCTTTCATTCGCATCGGTTTCATTCATTCAGTTTAGTTAATTTATTTTTATAAAGTGGTTGGACAGAAGAGAAATTTCATAATGTTGTCAATAATATTGAAGCACAGGTCAGAAAGCGTGAGCATTTGATGTGTCACGTTTCGTCCATGTGGTCTCGGCGTTTGTTTCCGATTTCCGAGTGATGTCATACCGAGTTTGATAAAGACGTTTTTATGGCTGACGGGTCCCGCATAGGAATTTTACAGGGACAATTAGCACATTCGAGCGACCAACGAAAGAGAACATCATCTCCGATAGTTTATTTCTTTTGTTATAAAAATAAGAAATACCGAGGTGGCATATTTGTTGTCAAATCGCAAATATATCGACATAGAAACTATTTCTACGAATACACGTGATATTTAATTAACTACATCTTATTGCTATAACTGCATTGTAATTTAGAAATTTCTGCATTTGTCACTTTTCGTTACGATTAGCAATTTTCATTTATTGTCAGAATAATTTGATTCGTTTATTTCTATTCTTTTTGTTTACCAAATTGCAAGATTTCGAGCCTTTTAAATCTGTTTATGTCATGACACTAATTAATATTTGTCTTTATTACTTTATTTAATGATCTTCAATCGAACTCGTCGGTTTCTGCGGTTTTCTTCTATCCGGAATCGATATTCAGAAGAAGTAATTCGTTCATCACGAGCGATTTAAATTTCTCCGTGTGCTTGCGCCTTCTTTTCACGGCCCTAGTTTCTCGCACTGACACGCATTTTTACGCACGTGTACATACGCGCACATATACTTGGGGAACGCGCTTGCTGGCGCCCGACGTTCTTTCTTGTCGCGGCGTCGCTGGCATCTGGCATCATCGGCGGCGCGATCGCTCGATACTGCGAGCTGCGAGCCGCGTCTGTCAGCACTGCCAGCGGTGCCAGCCACGTGCTGGACGCTTATTTACCTCGGATTGTCTTCTCCCTGGCTAGGTCGACGATGACGTCGCCGGTGACGATATCGCCGGGCGCGTAAGTAGCGCCCGGCCGGTCGAACTCGATGCGAAAAGTCCTGAGCGACGGCATTTGTGGAATGTGATGAGAGCTCGGCTTTGTATCAAGCAGGATCGAGGTCGGGCGATCGACGCGATCCGAAGTGGGGAACACGACTGGATACAACCGGTCCGACGGGACGTCCGTCGACCGCGAATCCTCTCACGACTTTGGTATCGCGTGGTCTGACTCGCTAGACGCTAGGCCGACGACGCCAACAGGCGTCGAGAGTCGTGGGCGGTTGGTTCGTATCAGCACCCCACTGTGAACGTCATCGGGGTGCGTGCAATGTATCCCTTATGATAGTTCGGTGGTGGTGGGAGTCTTCTTCTCCCTGGGTCTTCGTCGTAAGGAGGAAATGTGCGGACGAGAGATTGATGACGTTATTAGAAATTAGAGGACAATCGTTCATCATTGGAATAATGAGGAGCACAAATAGTATATCGTGATATTATTTTAATGATCGAAGAAAGTAGCTCTGACGAGTGAAAGAATATTCTATGTATAAAAGAAAACATCGCTTCTACGAATTTGAAGAAAGGGTAATTTGTATTCGAATGATTGGACGAGAGATAAACAAGATGTATATTCTGAATCTACTGTGAGAAATTTTGATAGACTTTAACCGCAATTTTTATATTTATTTAATATTGAAACACGCGATGAAATTTCTTCAAAACAGCTGAGTCATTTAATAGTACTACTCCACGCGTAAGAAATTAGTTTCTAAATTATTAAAAGCATGAGTCACATTGTTCAGAGCGTAACTATGCACATTACATTTGTGACGTCGCTAGATAAAAATATAATTCTTCGAAATGACGACGGGGGATTGCGAGAAACCAATTAGGTACTGTTGCATGATGTGTAACAATATACGTCATTGTTCTTTTTTTACATCATAGTTTTATCGTTATCGTTTTGACATAATAACGAGAAGATTATCAATCGTCGAAGACTGTCTAAATCAGATTGTCAATAAACTGTTATGACAACGGATAATTGAACCACAGGACTGAGACTAATTTAATGCATTACGCGCATTCGCGCCCGCTCCCATTGGGAGCGGATTGCTGCCGCGAGTGATGTATTTTTATTTCTTGTCGGACCGTCATGAGAACGCGCTACTTTCAAATGAGATATTTTCGTCATCCGTCAGACCTACTAAATAGTCAATCGATGTTACGTGGGATTGCATCGCGTGTTGAACATTTCTATGCGAGTTTATTAAGCCACGGTTGCGGACTGTGCCGCAATTGCTGTGCAATGGCTCTGCGATTGCTCGTTTTCGGCGATTGATTGTCAAATAAGGGTAAGTGATTAGCGCGATATATCGTCAGGTAATGAATTCTTCTATACGCGTAACGCGAATTACTCCAACACAAGATTAACGTGCATCAATAAATGTCTCGTTGAATTCGCATTGTAAGCATTCGCTATCTGGTGGCCTCTGACACAACTATTAAGTTTTCATACTCGTATGATACTACGCTGACGGTGCTAAGTTAGACAGTGTAAAATCAATTTCTTCTTAGAACCGTACCACTTCTTATACGATATATACAGAAATATTGTACGTTCTCTACGAAAAATAAAAATTGAAAAATTATGAGAATTTTTTTCAGTCTTTGCAGTTTTTATTTTTCAAAATGTTTTTTTTTCTCGATTACAAATCAACAAATCACGGTTTAAATTAGAAATAATTAAAAACGATAGTAATCATTTTTGATTCGATGTTGTCAACTTAGACGACTTTCCTATTTCTCAGGAGGATCTGCAAGTATTGATAACACATGCCGATAGAAATCATATAAGACTTAATTAGTATAATCATCTTACAATTAGTTACCTTACTTGAAATATTTGAAGACTGGATATTTAGGCGCAAAGGGTTCGTTAACACCATGCACGTATATAGAGTCCTTCGGATC